TATTTTGCTTCATTCTGTATTAGTAAGTCAAATTTAAGTGTTCTTTTCCTTTAATTGTAATCTTTCCTTCTGCTTCCCTCTAGTGTCCAACCTTCAAAGTCACATGCTATCATGTTTTTTTTTTAAGAATTCAAAACAAAAGCATTTTCGCATGGGAAGGATTCTTATAATTAATTCCAAAATCTTATTTCAAATCCATCTCAACCCTTAGTCTGTTTGTAACTTTCCAAAACTAAAATCCAAAAAAAGTTCTAATCACCCTTTTGCTGTTTATTATATACACACACACACACACACTTATATATTTAAAGTCCTTAAACTTTATTTAAAACTTCCTTCGCTAAAGTTTGAAGGACACTCACCCAGTGTTTTCAGGCTTGTCGATCCAAAGTTCCTAATAGGTAAAAAGCAGTTAACAAGCAATTTCCAAAAGTGATTAGAAAAAGAAGTGTGTGAACCCAGTGTCCTTAAAGGCACCAAACCACGGTTTGAGCAAATTGGCTATTCCCTCATCTCCCAGAGCTCTAAACCCACCAAAGACTGCTGTCTTGCAGTCACCTCACAAGGAGCAACTGTCTGGAGCACTTGTGGGCAATCTCAAGTCCTCTCCTTGTCCAGAGAAGAATTATGAAGAGCCAGTCTACTTGCCCGCTCTTCATTCCGCCGCAGTCATTGGCTCCATTTTTCGCAGAGCCATTTTCAGTTTGCCATTTCTTCACCAGAAGTTGAATAAATTTATTTGTAATGCTGTAATTGAATACATTTAATTGTAATGCCTGTTTTTTTTCCCCAGATTACAGCACATGGTGAATATGTTGTTGTTGAAATACAGTGCTTTCAGCAGCAGTGCTGTTACCCATTCTGTGTAAGTGCACATTACAGCATGCTGGAAGGACTCCCGGTAAGTTTGGATGGCTGTGATAAATACGTATTAGCTTCTTTGTCATCTTGAATGCTTTTTTATGTTAATAGTTTTAGATCAAATCCCATATTGCCCTATTACGTTCTGGACTTTAAAAGAGTAATGGTTTTAGTTATTAACATAATCAAGTATATACTTTAAAAATAAAAATAACTAATTCATATTACTGGTTCTCTTAGTACTATATAAATTGGCAAATAATATAGTTTTGTATTCCCCCAGATGACTCCTGTCATTACCAGCCAGCATGGTGATGGCTGTAAAGGGAGTAAAAATGGCAGCAATGTATGCTTAGTGTCCTGTACCAATTCTGCTTTCCAGCCCTCTGGGCTGGTCCCCAATGCCTGATTATTGGATCATACATTGGATCTGTTTTTTGTCTATTTTAACAGGGATGTTTCTGTTTGCTCTTTGATTGCTTTGGAGCAGCTGAGGAGCAGCTCAGCTTTTCCTTATCCTGATTTAGTTACAGTGACACAATAGCTTGTGTTTTTATTGATTGATAAATTTGTTATCAAGCTGGTATTGACTGTTAGCAACCCCATAAATAGATCTTCTTAAAGAAGATCTGTCCTCAGTTTGGCTCTTCAGGTCTTCCAGTGGTGTACTCATCACCACTGCAAATGAGTCCATCCACCTTGGTATTAGTCATCCTCTTCTTTTTTTTTTTTCCTTCCACCTTTGCCAGCATTAGAGACTTTTCAAGAGATCTGGTCTTCACATAATGTGTCCAAAGTATGGTAATTTGCGCCTGGTCATTTGTGCTTCAAGTGGGAATTCTGGATTGATTTATGATTCATTTGTTTTCTTAGCTATCCATGATATTTTCAGGAATCTTCTCCAAAACCAGCGTTCAACAGCATCAATACATTTTCTATTCTCCTTGTTCAAAGTTGAACTTTCACTTCTATAAAGTGTCACAGGGAAAACCATTTTCTCTACAATTTTGATCTTTGTAGATATAGGTACAGCATCTGAATATCTTTTCCAAGGCCTTAATTGCTACTTAGCAATTGCCAAATGCTACTCTGCAGCATATTTCTTGATTGCTAGTTCCTTTATTGTTGATATTTAATCCTAAAAGGCAAAAGCTATTCACCACTTCAAAATGTTCATTGTCAGTTCTAAGGCTCTTTGCTGAACCTGTGGTAATTTGTTTGGTCTTCTTTAATCTTAGTCCCATTTTTTTCACTGTGTTGCTTGATTTTCATTATTAGACCTTGCAGATCATCAGTGTCATCAGCATAGCACAGATTATTGATGTTTCTTCTCCAATTTTAAAACCACGCTGATCTTCTTCCAATCCAGCTTCCCATAATATATATTCAGATATAGCTTGAATAAATAAGAAGTTAGTATACAGTTTTGTCTCACTTCTTGACTGATCTGGACCCATTCTATTTCACCATCTTCTGTCTGGACTGTGGCTTCTTTTCCTGTATATGACTTCCCATTTTCCTGAAGATATTTCATAGCTTGACATGGTCAACACAGCCAAAGGACTTTCAATAATCAATGAAACACATGATCTCTCTCTCTCTCTCTCTCTCTCTCTCTCTCTCTCTGTCTTTTTCTCTCTTGTATTCTTTTGCTTTCTCAATTATCCAACATGCATCAGCAATAATGTCTCTGTTCCTCAACCTTTTCTAAAACTAGCTTGAACATCCCCTTTTCCATGTAAGTCTCTAATCTGCATTGAATGATCCTAAGCTGTAATGGAAGGCAAGTGCGAGGAGGATACTGGAATGGAGGATCAAGTTTATCAGGAAGGAGGGGGAGCATTCCTGGAGAGGTTACAGTGCAAGCACTTCCTCAGCCCACAGCAGGACCGTGAGAAGGTGAAGAAGCTGAGACTGGCCCTTCCCTAGAA